CATTCTCCCTTATTCTCTTCTAAATGTTTTAAGATTTTAGCTTTTACATTTTAGCCTAAGATCCAAATTATTTGTATATGGCATGACGTAGGGATCAAGGTTTGTTTTGTTTCTTTTTCCATATGGATAGCCATTAAAATTTTACTTTTCAACAGAATACATTTTATAATTCCTTTATGTGTTCTTGTTCCTGAGAACAGTTTAAAACATACCTTTAATTATTAATCTAAGTGAGGCTTGATGTGGTGGCTCACGCCTGTAATCCCAGCACTTCGGGAGGCCAAGGCAGACAGATCACATGAGGCCAGGACTTCAAGACCAGCCTGGCGACATTGTGAAACCATGTCTACTAAAAATACAAAAATTAGCCAGGTAATTACACTACCGTAATTCCAGCTACTTGGGAGGCTGAGGCATGAAAATCACTTGAAAGCCTGAGGCGGAGATTGCAGTGAGCCAAGATTGTGTCACTGCACTCCAGCCTGGGTGACAGAGTGAGACTCCGTCTCAAAAAAAATAATAATAAAAAAATTAATCTAAGTGATATCAGCCTTCTAGATTTCTCAATATATAATTTTACCATATTGATATTTTAAAAAATATTATCAAAAGTGGGATAATTTAGTAGTAAAAATAATATTCTGGACAAGAGATTTTTACTTCAAACTTTAACAAAAGGCAGTTTATTTATAAATTCACTTGCCTTTAGTAATGTATGGTCTTTGTAGAAAATTTATAAGATAATTTAAAAAAATTATTCTCTGTAATCCCAGCACTTTGGGAGGCCGAGGCGGGTGGATCACGAGGTCGAGAGATCGAGACCATCCTGGTCAACATGGTGAAGCCCCGTCTCTACTAAAAATACAAAACATTAGCTGGGCATGGTGGCGCGTGCCTGTAATCCCAGCTACTCAGGAGGCTGAGGCAGGAGAATTGCCTGAACCCAGGAGGCGGAGGTTGCGGTGAGCCGAGATTGCGCCATTGCACTCCAGCCTGGGTAACAAGAGCGAAACTCCGTCTCAAAAAAAATAAAATAAAATAAAAAATTATTCTCTATAGCAGTTGGTGAAATTTCATAATGAAATTGCATCTTTTGACTTTGGCAAACAACCATGGATAGTACAGTTTTAGGTATTATTTGACATGAAGCATTTCATTTGACTAGAGCTGAATTTGCAAGTGGAAATACTATAATTGTCTTTAAGTATTTATATGTGTACAATGTTTCATATTGTATCTCTTAGTGCTATCTATCTACAATGGACATGATCACAGGATACATCTAAAAGAAGAGAAACTAACTTTACTGAGCATTCCCTATGTCATTGAGCTAGATGTCTCTACTACACGAATCTCACATAATCCTCACAACAAACCTACAAGAGAAATTTCATTTCCCCACCTCCATTTTATAGACAAGTGAGCCTAGAGTCAATGGCATTACGGCTTTCCCAAAGTCTATGGCTAGTAAGGGATAGAGGTGGAGCTGTAAGGAAAATCTGTCTGAATTCAAAACCGAAGTTCTTTTCTCTATAGAACTATGTTATTCTCTGAGGGAAAAATGGTTGATTAATAAAAAGCAAATTACATATTTTAGGACATTCACTAGTAAAATATTTCTTAATAAATCAAAGCAGCCACATATTTTTTCTCAATGTTTTTCTCAGGACTATGCCAGGTATTACAAAAGATACTTAAGCATGAACCTTTGCCACAAAGGAATTTACAGTCTAGCTGAGGAGACATAACTAACATGCATGAGTCAATTAGTGAACATAACTAGTTACCATTAATGGTTAAAGTAAGATCTAGAAACCACTGACGTTGAATAAATTTTTTTAATGAACTGTGTTGGAGCACAACAAACTGACATTTAGGTGGGGCTGTATTATGAAGGGTCTTGAAAGAGGAAAAATGAGTAAAATTGAGTTTAAGCCCTTGAAGGTCTTTGATTTGGCATAAAGAAAGAGGTATTTAAGAAAGTTTTGGCTGAGTGCAGTGGCTCATGCCTCTAATCCCAGCACTTTGGGAGGCGGAGACTGGCAGATCACCTGAAGTCAGGAGTTCAAGACCAGCCGGGCCAACACAGTGAAACCCCATCTCTACTAAAAATACAAACATTAGCTGGGTGTGGTGGTGCACACCTGTAGTCCCAGCTACTCAGGAGGCTAAGCAGGAGAATTACTTGAACCTGGGAGGTGGAGGTTGCAATGAGCCATGATCAAACCACTGCACTCCAGCTTTAAGCGACAGAGCAAGACTCCATCTGAAAAAAAAAAAAAGAAGAAGAAGAAAGAAAATTTTGTTTAGCAGAAAAACTCAAAAACTCAAAAACTCAGGTTATCTCTGAGTAGAGTATGAGAAATAAAGCCATGAAAAAGTAGTTAATAAAATTCTAGTTGTAAAACAAGGACCTGAGTGAAGGTAGTGGCAGTAAGAAACTTGGAAAACAAATGATATACAACAAAGACTAAAACTTCTCTCCAACAGTACAATGTTCACTATAAATCAGATATTATAAAAATAAGAGAACACAGATGCAAAAATCTTCAATAAAATACTGGCAAATCGATTGCAGCAGCACATCAAAAAGCTTATCCACCATGATCAAGTAGGATTCATCCCAGGGATGCAAGGCTGGTTCAACATACGCAAGTCCATAAATGTAATTCACCATATAAACAGAACCAAAGACAAAAACCACATGATCATCTCAATTGATGCAGAGAAGGCCTCTGACAAAATTCAATAGCCCTTTATGCTAAAAACCCTCAATAAACTAGGTATTGATGGAACTTATCTCAAAATAATAAAAGCCATTTATGACAAACCAACAGTCAATATCATACTGAATGGGCAAAAACTGGAAGCATTCCCTTTGAAATCTGGCACTAGACAAGGATGCCCTGTCTCACCACTCCTATTCAATATAGTATTGGAAGTTCTAGCCAGAGCACTCAGGCAAGAAAAAGAAATAAAAGGTATTCAAATAGGAAAGGAGAAAGTCAAATTGTCTCTATTTGCAGATGACATGATTGTATATCTAGAAGATCCCATCATCTCAGCCCAAAGTCTCCTGAAACTGATAAGCAACGTCAGCAAAGACTCAGGATACAAAATCAATGTGCAAAAATCACAAGCATTCCTGTACACCAATAACAGACTTAAAGAGAGCCAAATCAAGAAGAAACCGCCATTCACAATTGCTACAAAGAGAATAAAGTACCTAGGAATACAACTAACAAGGAACGTAAAGGACCTCTTCAAGGAGAACTACAAACCACTGCTCAATGAAATAAGAGAGGATACAAACAGATGAAGAAACGTTCCATGTTCATACTTAGGAAGAATCAATATTGTGAAAATGGCCATACTGCCCAAAGTAATTTACAGATTCAATGTTATCCCCATCAAGCTACCACTGACCTTCTTCACAGAACTGGAAAAAAACACCTTAAACTTCATATGGAACCAAAAGAGAGCCCGCCTAGCCAAGTCAATTCTAAGCAAAAAGAACAAAGCAGGAGGCATCACATTACCGGACTTCAAACTATACTACAAGGCTACAGTAATCAATACAGCATGGTACTGGTACCAAAACAGAGATATAGACCAATGGAACAGAACAGAGGCCTTGGAGGCAACACAACATATCTACAACCATCCGATCTTTGACAAACCTGACAAAAACAAACAATGGGGAACGGATTCTCTGTTTAATAAATGGTATTGGGAAAACTGGCTAGCCATGTGCAGAAAGCAGAAACTGGACCCCTCCTCGCACCTTAAACTAAAATTAACTCCAGATGCATTAAAGACTTAAACATAAGACCTAAGAAGAAAATCTAGGCAAAACCATTCAGGACATAGGCATAGGCAAGGACTTCATGACCAACACACCAAAAGCAATGGCAACAAAAGCCAAAATAGACAAATGGGACGTAATCAAACTCCACAGCTTCTGCACAGCAAGAGAAACAGTCATAAGAGTGAATTGGCAACCAACAGAATGGGAAGAAATTTTTGCAGTTTACCCATCTGACAAAAGGCTGATATCCAGAATTTACAAAGAACTAAAACAGATTTACAAGGAAAAAACAAACAAGCCCATTCAAAAGTGGGCAAAGGATATGAACAGACACTTTACAAAAGAAGACATACACGAGGCCAACAAACATGAAAAAATGCTCATCATCACTGGTCGTTAGAGAAATGAAAATCAAAACTACATTGAGATACCATCTCACGCCAGTTAGAATGGTGACCATTAAAAAATCTGGAGACAACATATGCTGGAGAGGATGTGGAGAAATAGGAACACTTTTACACTGTTGGTGGGAGTGTAAATTAGTTCAACCATTGTGGAAGACAGTGTGGCGATTCCTCAAGGATCTAGAAATAGAAATTCCATTTGACCCAGCAGCCCCATTACTGGGTATATATCCAAAGGATTATAAAGTGTTCTACTATAAGGACACATGCACACGAATGTTCATTGCAGCACAGTTTACAATAGCAAAGACCTGGAACCAACCCAAATGCCCATCGATGATAGACTGGACAGGGAAAATGTGGCACATATACACCATGGAATATTACGCAGCCATCAAAAACGATGAGTTCGTGTCCTTTGTAGGGACATGGATGAACCTGGAAGCCATCATTCTCAGCAAACTGACACAGGAGCAAAAAATCAAACACCGCATGTTCTCACTCATTAGGCGGGTGTTGAACAACAGGAACACGTGGACACAGGGAGGGGAGCACTACACACTGGGGTCCGTTGGAGGGAAGTAGGGGATAGACAGCGGGGGGTGGGGAGTTGGAGGGGGGATGGCATGGGGAGGAATGCCAGATATAGGTAAGGGGGAGGAAGGCAGCAAATCACACTGCCACGTGTGTACCTATGCAACAATCTTGTATGTTCTTCATATGTACCCCAAAACCTAAAATGCAGTAAAAGAAAAACAGAAATATAAAAAACATACTTAGCCACTAGTATGCTTCCCAATCATATGGAAATTCTAGATCTAATTTATAGTTTCAGGAAGCAGATTAATAGATCTTGATATGAGACAGCTGCTCACCCCTGTGAAAATTAAAAACATTTGAAGAGCCCTCTTCCTTTTTGATTATCTCTGAAATAACCAGTTTTCTAGGAAAAAGGAAAAGTGCCATCTTTTTCATAATCTCTGCAATGCAAGTGCCAAGAAAATGTCATCTATATCTGTTTTATGACATACAGATTCTGCCAAATATCTTCAGTTTATCAAAACTACTTTTTATAAAGGGGTGCAGAGTATCGTTTTCCTGAATTATTATTAGACTCGGCTTACATGTGGAAATCTCTTCTTTCCAAATCTTGTATGTAAGTGCACTATTATAAGGACATATGCCCACAAAGCAAGCACATAATAAGTGTTTCTTGATTAGATGACTTGGAACATAGACCAATAACCATGGTAATTAATTCAGACCAATGCAGAGAAGGATTATGAAACCAAAACACAGAAAATAATTGAGGAGAATCTTCTTAGAGATTAACTTTGATTCCAATGGCTTGTTTAAATTCATGGTTTTGTGGTTCCAAGATGTCATAGAAAACTTGGTTTTTGTCAAAATGGTCTCTAATGTAAAGTAAATCTTCAATGGAATAGTTATCATTTTTTCCGGTCCAAACAGTCAGGCTGTACCTGCATTAAAACAAAACAGAATTATGTAGTTAAAAGAGGAAAATAAAGTGATGAGTCATTCCAATCAGCCTAAAAATACTTTCTCTTGTCTCTAACTCAAATGCACACAGATGAAAAAATCAGTCAGCAATGGTGTAACTGTACTTTCCTATTTCATTCTTTCATCAGTATCAGAGGGACTAGAGACAAAAAATATTCACACTGCTGTTGTCTAAATGACATAATTGCTCTATCTGCATTACAGGAATGCTAAATGGACTAAGAAAGCAGACTGGTGGCATGAGAAATGGGTCTAATTTTGAAAAAAGGAATCAAAGAGATTGTGTGGCTGATGGAGGAATCTGTAATCCCAGTTTGTTCAGGAGCCTGGTCAGAGTGAAAAGCACAACGGTAAGGGATTGTGAAGATACACAAATGTCACTGACATCCACTGACAACCCCTGTGGAGGTTTTTGTATGAGACACAAGAGTGCCAAGAGATGTCACTAAGAATGGCAAATAGAATACACTTAGATCTTTTTCTGAAGAGCTGAAAACCAATAACCTACGTAAGTTCATTATGGATGTAAGAGTATGCTCAGAATGTTAATGTTACTTAAACTGTACATTTTTATTTCTTCTGGTGACACTACTACTGCTGCATTAAAGTCTGGGGAAATGCAAAGCTGCTAAGGAGTTTCATATTTATATTCCCCATAAACTTGTCAGAATCCAGGGGAAAATTTCCAAAGCATTTTTTCTACTGGTGATAAGAAATAACTGCCTAACCAAGGCATATTTTCTTGTCACACTGACACATTCTTGTCCTTAAGGATGGCGATATTCACCATTCTGGAAATACAACAGAGGAAGGTAATTTGGATATCATCCCACAGCAGTATCATATGACAAACCAAAAAGAATTTAAGCTAAGGACACAGAAAAAGAAAAATGAAAATTAGTTCTGAAACCTGTATTTTTTGCTAAAATGGAATCTTTATTACTTTATCTGGGCACCATGGTGACAAACCTTTAGAAAAAGGCATGGTTATAAGCATTCAGATTAAAAGAAGAGCTTCCCACTATTATTTTGCCTCTTAATATTCACTTCATTGTATTTAGACTGAAATGGAAAAAAAAAATTGCCTGAGGGTAAATTGTATTCATTGATATCAATTCTCAAACTTCATTTTTTAATTTTCTTTATTGTGAAATAACACACATAGAAAAAAGCACATAATTCTTCTGATTGTGGTTTTGATTTTAAAAAAAGCAGCACATATAACATAAATAGAATTTTTATCAGATTATTATAAAGTGAATGCCAGTGTAATCAAAACAAATAAATAGAACATGGCCAGCAGCTGAAGAAGCACCATGGTGTCACTGCTCTATCATAATCCCCTCTCCCTTCAAGTGGCCATGATCTTTAAGATTGTTAAGTACCTAACAGAGAATGAAATGGGAATGATTACAGAGTGAAGGAGACTGAGGAGACATGATAACTACATTCAGTGCATGTTCTTGGAGAGTTTTCTGGATCAGAAGGGAAAAAGTGGTATTGTTGCAATGGTTGGTGAAATCTGAATGGGGTTGGTGCCCTGTATGCTAGTGTTGTATCAACGCTGACTTCCTGAGGGAGGCTGGACGGTGGTAATACAGAAGTGAGTCCTTTGGGATGGTATCCTCTGGAATACTTAAGGATAATAAGCTCATCCAGAAAAACATAAATAGAAAATTATATATCTGGAGAGAAATAATGGACAAATGCAGGAAAATGTTAAGAATTGGGGAATTTGGGTGAAGGAGATGTGGTAGTTTTTGTGATTTTTTCTGTAAATTTAAAACAAAAATAACCGTAAATCAACCCTACAAAAGACAGTATTAAAAAAAAAAAAAGCCCAGGTGCGGTGGCTCAGCTTGTAATCCTAGCACTTTAGGAGGCCAGGTGGGTGGACTGCCTAAGCTCAGGAGTTCAAGACCACCCTGGGCAACATGGTAAAACCCCGCCTCTAATAAAATACAAAAAATTAGCAAGATGTGGTGGTGCGTGCCTGTCATCCCAGCAACTTGGGAGGATGAGGCATGGGAATCGCCTGAGATCCAGAGGCGGGGGTTGCAGTGAGCCGTGATCACCCACTGCACTCCAGCTGAGGCTACAGAGTGAGACTGTATCAAAAAAAAAAAAAAAAAAAGTAAAAAAGCAAAATGCCATAAAGTTAATTTTCAAATAAAAGATAGGGCAAAGTTACTCAAAGCAAACAAAAAGAAGACAACATGCTTGACTATTTGTAAAAAAAAAAAAAAAAAAAATCATTAAATAAGATCAAGAACACTGTGGTAAAGGTATCATTCTTAGTGATGACACAATAGATATGAATAGATAAATAGTCTATAATGAACATTTTAAAAGCAAAAACTATGAAGGTGGGTGAGGAAATAGATAAAAATACTTTAAGAGCTGGAGATGACATTTATTTGCACATATGCAAAATAACACACTAATAAGGTTATTCATGGCAACATTGTAGTATCAAATATTAGAACTATGCTAAATGCCCATCAAAAGGCGGTTGGTTAAGTCAATTATAATACATACATAAATATCATGCACCTAGGAAAGAAAAACAAGAAAGTTTACTTCAGAAAGAGCTTCACAATGCATAAAGCTAAAAAGAGAAAAGGGAAGGAAAAGGAAAAAAAATCAAAGAAAAGAACAAAACCAAGGAGCAAGGTGTATAACATGCTATCTTTTGTTTTAAAAAGGAAGGGGACCAGGTGCGGTAGCTCACACCTGTAATCCCAGTGCTCTGGAGGCCAAGGTGGGTGGATCACTTGAGGTCAGGCATTCAAGACCAGCCTGGCCAACGTAGCAAAACCCTGTCTCCACTAAAAATAAAAAAAAATTAGTCAGGTGTGGTGGTGGGCTCCTGCAATCCCAGCTACTAGGGAGACTGAGGCATGAGAATTGCTTGAACCCAGGAAGCAGAGGTTGCAGTGAGCTGAGATTGCACCACTGCACTCCAGCCTGGGCAACAGAGCAAGATTCCATCCCTAAATAAATAAATAAATAAATAAATAAATAAATAAAATAAAAATAAAAAGGAAAAGGAGGGGAAATTAAGACACTATATTTACATTTACTCTTACATGTATAAAGAAAGTAACAACTATAGTTAGTGACATTGGGCAGGAAAACTGGGCAGATGAGCAAAAGGCTTTTCACAGTGTAAGTCTTTATTCAGTTTTTGAACTAATTTTCTTCTTTGAAAAATTAAATTTAAAATACTTTTTTTTTCTTGAGACAGAGTTTCGCTCTGAGTTATAGTCAATGTGTTCTAACAGGAAGACATGTAACATAAGTAACACCGCAGAATAGAAGTTTCTATCCCTCGAATACCCCACTGAAACACTGATTTTGAAAGCTACTTATATAGACAGAAGTACCTTTGTGGAAACCCAGGAGTCCAGTGGAAAGGCTCTGCTACTACACTGGAGAACACACACACACAAAATCTGAGAACAGACACATTAAAGAAGGTAAAACATTTCACTTTACCCATATTACCCCTCCTCTAAGGCATCACAGTTCAGTGCCAACAAAGACCTCCTTGGCCTGTGTATTCTCCTATGAGGAAAAGCAGGAGTGTAGTAAGTACCTAGCTTCACTACCCATGAGGCATGCTGCTCAAGAGGTCCACTTTTTCCTCTCACCCTGCCCAGAAGGCTGAAGGGATCAGCAAGGCTGATTAGTCCAGGAGCAACAGGAACTGGAAAGTGGGTAGAGGCTCACTTATTTTTAACTTTAGTGGGTACATTGTAGGTATATATATTTATGGGGTACATGAGATGTTTTGATATAGGCATGTAATAATAATCACTTGAAAAATGGGGTTCCCATCCCCTCAAGTATTTATCCTTTGTGTTACAAACAATCCAATTATACTCTTCTAGTTATTTTCAAATGTACAATTAAATGAACAATAGTCACCCTGTTGTGCATCACATACTGGGCTTTATTCATTCAAATATTTTTTCATATCCATTAACTATTCACATCTCCCCCAACACCCACCACCACCACCTATTCCAGCGTCCGGTAAACCAACCTTCTACTCTCTATCACCTTAGGTTCAATTGCTCCAATTTTTAGAATGCTCAAATAAATGAGAACATGTGATGTTTGTCTTTCTGTGCCTGGCTTATTTCACTTAACATAATGATCTCCAGTTCCATCCATGTTGTTGCAAATGACAGGATCCCATTCTTTTTTATGGCTGAATATATCCCATTGTATATAAGTACCATATATATATACTTTAATCTATTCATCTGTTGATGAAAGAATACTTTGGCTGCTTTCAAATCTTGGCTACTGTGAATAGTGCTTCAACAAACATGGAAGTACAGACATATCTCGGATACGCCGATTTCCTTTTTTTGTTTACATACCCAGCAGTGGGGTTTCTGGATTACATGGTAGCTCTATGTATACTTTTTTCCTTAAAAAACTAAAGCCCTCATACCAACAGCATACAAGGGTTCCCTTTTCTCCACATCCTGGCTAGCATTTATTGCCTGTCTTTTGGATAAAAGTCATTTTAACTGGGGTGCGATGATATCTCATCATAGTTTTGATTTGCATCTCCCTGATAATCAGTGATCTTGAGCACCTTTTCATATGCTTGTTTGCCATCTGTATGTCTTTTCTTCAGAAATGTCTATTCAAATCTTTTGCCCATTTAAAATCAGATTATTAGATTTTTTCCAGTTGAGTTGTTTGAGCTCCTTATTATTCTAGTTTTTAATCCCTTGTTAGATGGGTAGTTTGCAAATATTCTCTCCCATTCTGTACATTGTCTCTTTACTTTTTTGACCATTTCCTTCGCTGGGCAGCTTTATGACTTGATGTGATCCCATTTGTCCATTTATGCTTTGCTTGCCTTGCTTGCGGAGTATTACTGAAGAAATCTTCGCTCAGACCAATGTCTTAGAGGGTTTCCCCAGTGATTTCTTGTGGT